ATTTCTAAATTTGGAGCGCCACCGTGTGGTCCTGCTGCAGGAGGGGGCCTGGATTCAGGGTGTGCGGAGGTGGGATATTTATCCTATTTTACTGCAAAAGGGGGAAAAAGAGGTTTTCCACACAGGTTTTTCACACACAGAACACCTGCATAATGTGAATCCTTTCATTGCGCCAAAGGGGATTTCTCAGAGCCTTGTGCATTGTCTGGGCATCAGACTGTTTAAAAGAAGTTGCAGGACCTCATTTCTCCTGCTGTCCGCTTCTGCTACTAGAACTGCAAGAGAGATGAACAAGCAGTGAATGTTTCCTTTGCTGGCATCTTCTGCCGTTCAAAATAAAGACAATAAGCAGAACTCACCCGAGGTGGAAAACACTGACAAGGCCAAAACCTGTAGGTCTGATGAGCCTTGTTTTTTGCTGCTCCAGCGAAGTGTGCGCATTGTGCGTGTCCTTCAGTACATCCCTGAAGCATCAGCCTTTGTACACGTATGCGGGCTGACCCTGCCTTTTGTGCACAGCTGCCACAAAGTGTCCAAGATCGATTGGATTCTCTCTGTGTGACATGGAGAATGAATCTGCATGTGCCCTAAAGCCATGTCTGTCTCAATAGTAGAAATCCATTGCCTGATTGCTTCCTCCCAAGGGGAGAAGTAATGAATTGCTAATGAAAATGGTTGCCTAAAATCCAAAAAAGTAAGGTTAGCCAGCATTTTTAAAAAATCCCAGGAAGCTGTTCATTTTCAAGAATAGATCTGATTAATTGTATCAAAAATTTGAAATGCAGCTTTCTCTTGAAAATTGGGTGCACTGCAGTCTACCAATATGGCTTTAATCAAGATGGCTTAGTTTGCACATTAGATTTTTCTAACCCCCAAGTATACAATCCATGAAAAGTTTGACTCTGAGAGTCAAAACTCCGTTCTGCTTGTCTTTCGTTAGGTGTAATAAAGAGTCTGCTAGCAGATCACACATTGCATGACTGGTTAGTTTCTTGGCACTCAGATGTATTTCTGCGTACTGGAGCTGTGCTGAATCTCATGTTTCTGGCTGCTTTTCTGCTACTGTTTTCAGTGTCAACATGACTAACTCTGGACTAACATCCTCCTTGATTGCTGTCCCTTGAGCCACGTTGTCTGTTTTTGGGGGAACTTTCAGTGAGTAAGTGTTGAGGTTGTATTCTCTGCCCATCACTGCACAGCCTGCCCTATCCCTACCCCATTCCTGCTGGGTGTTGCCAAGACTTGCAGCAGCCTCTATAGGGGCAGCTAGGACATGGCCCTGTTGGGGTGGAATAGGGGACTGCTTTCACTGGGTGTTTTCATTGTTCTTCCTCTGAAGTTCCCTTCATTTAGGATTCTCCAAGGTTTATCCAGAGGGAAGCTGGGGGAAATGGACAATGCTCCATGGTAGGTGCATTGTATTTCCACATACACCAAACATGTTTCAATGCCCCTGGACTTCATCCCCACAGATTTCTTCTCCCAGACAAGGAGATAGGTCTCAGGGGCATCTGGTGCAGCTGTTACTTCTATGAAAGCAATACTCCCAAAATCAGTACTCGCAACCTGAAAAACCTTAAAGGCAACTTAAAACCTCATGGGTTTTCTGAGACCCTGCAGGTGGAAAGCATGAGCTCTGACTTGGCTGCTAATTTTTGCTTTGTAAGGCTATACTTTTATCCTTTCCAATCCAGGGACATGACTACACTCTATTGCACAGCCCAGGGGCACTACTGGTCTGGCAAGGTGCTATCAAAGCTTGTGGTCCTTGGGATGAGCCCTTGGGATGTTGAGCTCCACAGCAGAATAGTGACAGGGCATATGGGGGACTACATCTCATGAGCAGTAGCAGAGTGAGGGGTGGGAAACAGGCAGAGACTTGCTCTCATTATGCATGGGTCTAACATGCCCAATTACCCCATCCTCTCCTCACCTCTGCAATGTAAAAGACTGTTGTTGAGAGTGGTCATAACTCATGGTGAACACCCTGCCTCCCCCTTACTCCTTTCACACCCACTGCTCTCCATTTTCCTTCCAGAAAAAAAAATGTGTCTTTGATGAAATGAAATGGCTCAGTCAAAGAACCCCTCAAATGCTTGGGGACCCCTGCAGTTGGCCACCCTTGCCCACTTCCCAGCTCTATTTCTGGCCGAGTTTGGAGTTTAAGTGGGCTGACCTTGTGCCCTGCCTGCCCTGGGGGTCAGTGATGAAAGCGGATGGAGGCTTCACAGTCAGGTCTCTTGTGTGTGACTCTTTTGTTCCCAGGACAAGGGTGTGCAGTGCCTGGGACAGTACTTAATTGTTTGGGGGCACTGCTTTACCCGTCATGCCCTTCCCCGGGTGGCCCCAGCCCTTCTTGCTCATGCGTGGGAGGAAGGCAGCTTCCCCACTCAGGGTAAGGAGGAGGAAGCAGAGTCTGGATTGCTCGAGATAATTTCTGGCTATTTATCAATCTTTGTCATAAAGTTTGCAGAGTGCCAGAAAGCAGAAAGAGAAATAAAGAAAAAGGACTTCTCCATTTTGTGACTCCTGTCTGTCACTGGGTGTATCCTCCATTGTCCTTCTGTGCAGACAAGAGCAACATCACCTTGTCGCAGCCAGCTCCTGTCCATCCACTGTGCTCCATGGGATTCACCCCATCACTGAGACCTCCTTCTGCCCTTCTACAGATGTTTAATGAGGAAAGTCCTGCATCAGGCCTGAGTCATTTGGCTTAGTCCAAGTGGAGGCAATAGGTTCACACCAGGGAGGGCAGAAACTTTGTATTGATCTTGTGGGTGTGCAAGCCCAGGGCTGGATATATTGAGACTTCTGGAAAATTTTTTGTTTGTTTTTGTTTGTTTGTTTGTTTGATTGATTGATTGATTGATTGATTTTCTTTTGCTAGATCTGAGGTGGCCACTACACCTGTCACGGCCCTGAAGACATGCAGAGGAGTGGTAGGTTTTCTGTAGGTGTGCTTGGGCAGGGGAAGTATGCTGGACAATCTGTGGGCATGATGATACAGAATTGAAGGTTTACAAAGCCTTGTCCAGTGGAGGTGGGTCAGCAGAGCTCAGCACAATCATGAAGGAAGCCTTGTACCACTCAATACTTCTTTGGCTGCCTCATTAGCATATTTCTTTTCACAACAGGTCCTTCTTCTGTGCTTCACATCTTCATTAGAGCTGGAGACTGGGGCAGGAACCTCCACAGCAGGCCCTCCCTCTGCCATTTTGGGGAGTGACTGTGCAGAGGAAATGGATAAAAGGAGCCCAGGGTCAGGGTTTAATTACCCCATTGCGTGCAGAGACGAGTGATGGACAGAGACTGTCAGTAGGTCACTGATTAGCTGCCACAGAGCAGACAGAGGAGGGGGGAAATGTGATGAGCCCCTGGGACAGGCCAGTGCTGGGGAGAGCTGAGACATGGAGATGGCAGCTTCTTGTGAAAGACACTTTTTCTTTTAGTTGTTTCCCCAGTCTTTCATCCCACTATTTGTCCCAGCTCCATCAGGACTCCTGTGGGCTAAAAAGTCTCCTGTGCCATGGCTGCTTCGCTGGTTAGGGGCAGGTTGCTGCTGGGGTGGAAGGTCCCCTGGGGGGATGGAGAAGAAGGGATGTCTCCTGCTAACTGTGGAGATCTCTTGTCTCCCTGTGGCAAGATGGCAAGGAAGGATGGAGGGAGGGGAGAAGGGAAGGAGTAATGAAAGCACATGAGGGAAGGAAAGGAAGAAGGCTGAATGAAATGGCTGCTGGCAGGTGAGGTGTAATGCACAGATAGTGCTCCTCTGTGCAGGAGTGAAGTTCTCCTTCTGCGAGATCAGCCCAACGAAAGTGCAAACCAGGCTGCTTGTTTTCAGCCCCACTGCTTAGCCACTGCCTCCTTTGGACATGGCTGAATGCCTCAGGTAGTAAATCTGTCTGGCATCTGTTGGGTCTGGGACTGAGAGAGACCAGTTTTATTCTCTTGGCAGATTTGGTGACCTGGTTCTGTGTAGCAATATGCAGAAGAAGCAAGTTTCAGCAAGTCTTAGCCTTTCTGCTCCTAATCCCATAGGTAATTCTGCCTTCTTTCGTTCTCATCCTCATATCAAGCCCTTGTTCCTCATCCCACCATGCTTTCTCTGAGGCCAGCAGCCCTCTTCCCACATTTAGACAGCTCAAGTCAACTCATATTCTTGACTCTGCCCTCAAGTCCTGCCATACAGTATCACACCTCACACACAGTCTTCTTCCACCAGTCCTGTTAACCTTGGTCTCAAGACTCCTCTTTCTTTTCCTTTTCTCTACAATCCCTATTACACATCCTCTTTTGGAGTTTGACCTTCAGTTTCTACCTCCACACACAGTTGTCCCCCAAAGTCCTGCTTCCCATGTTCACTCTCCCTACCACTTCTACCCTTTCCTCTCCCATTCTTGCTTTTCCTCACTCATCCTTTATCCCTCTTTCCTGTCCCCTTCACCCCTGATCTCCCAGGGCTGTTTGCATGAATCGTTTCTGGAATCATGAGATCACTGTTTTTTTCTGTCAACTGTCAGTGGGAACATCACATTAAGGAGCATGGATAAGTGACCGGGGGCCTTTGGGGTGACTCTGGCACCCCCTCTCCCCACCATCCCTACCCCCCCCCCCCCTTCTTCTGTATCAAAGGAAGCTTTGTTGTCCAAAAGCAGAAAGAGAAAAGCAGATAAAAAGGCAGAACATGTGATCTCATTGGCTTTATTTAGACATCCAGCTATCCCTCCTCTCTCCTTGATTAATCCAAAATTATCTAAGAATCCATAATCCATCCTTGAGCTTCTCATTTGTGAAAGAGATGGTGGTAGATTCTTTTTTCCAAAAGGACTCCAACAGCTGACCTCTTGGTCTCTACAAGGTGCAAAGATGACCCTGATGGGGCTCCCTAGACAGTGTAATACCTATGATTAGAATCTTCACATCAGGAGTGTGGCATCACTCCATGTGAAGGAAAATTGAAGCAGGGAGAAGCAAAGCCTTTTCCTTAAAGTTTCACCATTGCTTAATGGAGAATGCCAAGAGTATCCAGCAATACGTTGCTTCATCAGGGGCACTGCCTGGTGGGGAGGTTTAAATTTGCAGCATTAGATGCACAACATTTGAATTAAGGAGTTTCTGGATCTTCCAGGGACTTGTTTTTTTGACAAGGGCAAAATTCTTCATCTCGGGGTCCTTTGGTTGTCTTTAGTGATGGAGATGATCAGTGTCCTGGTGAGCATCCTCTATGGTAGAGCTACTGTGGGAGCGGTGGAACACAGCTGAGGTTGCAGGAAGAATCTCTGTGTTTTTGTTGGGATTCATTTAGATGCTATCAAGCCAGGAGGCAGGAAAAAGGGTTATTGTATATTCCTTTGTTGTTACATATTAGAGAAGTTTGAGGCTTTACAGTGAAAGCTGCCCTGCACGCTGCTTTGAAACAGTACAGTTGACTGAGCAAAAATCCTTATTGTGGGCAGAGCTGTACGAATATAAAGAGTTGGTCAGTGCATCGTTTTCAGGATGTTTTAACCAGCTTGGTTAAAATCCACCAGACAAGAAGTCCTTCTAATATGGGAATATAATAGCCCTTTTATCTGTAGTCCATTCCCCTTCTGTACAGGAGTAAAAATTCTCTGTATAACGCTTTACATCCACAGCTCTGTGTGTGTGTGCGGGATGTGGCTAAGGCTGAAATTTAATGATTGTTTCAAGTGCCTTCCAAAACAGTTAAGGCACTAAATGGAAGAAGAGTGCAGAAAGCTTGGCAGATGGATGCAGGCAGCATAAGCCATGTTCATCTAACTCATGACATGGACTGAGATTGACTCAGGACAAAGGGTGGTCAGAGGAGTGAAGAGGTTCAGTAGAGAAGAAGGTGAGCAGAAAAGCAGGAAGATTTGCATCAGGTGAGAATGAAGAATTTGATTTTGTTGCAGAACACAGTATCAGTGAAGTATATGCCAAATGCTATGAAAGGAAGGGAGGTGGGAATTTGGCTAAGGAATTGTTTCTGTTGCAGAAAGGTCACTGTAGAAGTTGCAGTGACTTTGGTATCATGTGATCTTTTACATATCTGTGTACGTGTAAGGTGACTCAGTGAAACAGCATGTGCAAGGAGACTACGGCTGGAAGGATGCCTGTGGGAATGCCTGAAGTATAATTTCAATGGGTTGTGGGAAGACATGATGTTCATGGGGATTTGCCACAAGT